TTCACTTGACGATTTACCACCTAAACCAACAGGTTATAAAAATCAAATTAATGTTTTGCTAACTTTAAATTAATGTAAAAAGTCTTTAATTTCCTGTTTTATAATATTGTTTTCACCAATATAGAGTAATATGTATACTTCTAAAGAATTGAATTAATTTTCAAAATTTATGTAACAAGAAAATAAACTGACTTAATGGTATACAAAAATAATAATTAAATATTTAAAATATAATAAAGAATGTGTACATTAGGTAATTATTAACTCTACTGTCTATACTTTACTTGAAATACGCTTTAACTCCTTACCTTTTAAGTCACTTGACGATTTACTACCTAAACCAACAGGTTATAAAAATCAAATTAATGTTTTGCTTACTTTAAATTAATGTAAAAAGTCTTTAATTTCCTGTTTTATAATATTGTTTTCACCAATATAGAGTAATATGTATACTTCTAAAGAATTGAATTAATTTTCAAAATATATGTAACAAGAAAATAAACTGACTTAACGGTATACAAAAATAATAATTAAATATTTAAAATATAATAAAGAATGTGTACATTAGGTAATTATTAACTCTACTGTCTATACTTTACTTGAAATACCCTTTAACTCCTTACCTTTTAAGTCACTTGACGATTTACTACCTAAACCAACAGGTTATAAAAATCAAATTAATGTTTTGCTAACTTAAAATTAATGTAAAAAGTCTTTAATTTTCTGTTTTATAATATTGTTTTCACCAATATAGAGTAATATGTATACTTTTAAAAAATTGAATTAGTTTTCAACATTTTTTTAAAAATAAATGTGACAAGAAAATAAACTGACTTAATGGTATACAAAAATAATAATTAAATATTTAAAATATAATAAAGAATGTGTAAATTAGGTAATTATTAACTCTACTGTCTATACTTTACTTGGAATACGCTTTAACACCTTCCCTTTCAAGTCACTTGACGATTTACTACCTAAACCAACAGGTTACAAAAATCAAATTAATGTTTTGCTAACTTTAAATTATTATAAAAAGTCTTTAATTTTCTGTTTTATAATATTGTTTTCACCAATATAGAGTAATATGTATACTTCTAAAGAATTAAATTTATTTTCAACATTTTTTTAAAATATATGTGACAAGAAAAAGAACTGACCTAATGGTATACAAAAAAAAAATGATTTAATTAAAAAATAAATGAATTCAATAATCTATTTGCAATTATTAAGTACTTTTAATAGGACTATTAATAAAATGTAAAATAAAAAAAAATTATTTTTACAACATGTATTTCTAAAAAATAGTAAAAAAGTAAAAAGTAAAAAATAATTTTACTATTAGAACAATTTACCAATCAGTTCTAACACCATTTGCTTTTGAATGTCAATGAGTTTGAAAACAACGGATAATTAACTTTAATTTTAAATAATGTTAAACATCTTTAATTTTTGTCTAAAAAGGAAAGCGTGATCTCTAATCAACAAACTCCAAATTCATTGATTTTGGAGTAGTATACAACTTTTATAAATTGTTTTAAAAATGTTCGATTATAGAACTATCAACAATCCACATTTCAAAATAAATGAACAAGAGATTTAGGACGTCCAATTTAAGTTAGCTATAACCGTGATTATTTTTGGTACCATAGTTCAATTGTGCAAACAAAATTTATGAAACAAAGTAATAAATTATTAAAAAACATACCGCGTATGAATGATGAACAACCAAGGTCTAATACACAAAAACATTTTATATTATTTTGAGAACATATTGTTAAACAACAAAACATTTTTTATTTTAAATATGTAAGAAAATAATAGCTTTAAATATAACATTTTTTATACGATTTTTAAACTGTTAAGAGGGTTACTATTCTAATTCCAGTAGAAGAATATTAACACATATCATGTGGTTTTAACTTATATAGTGTTAGAGAAAGGGTTCGATGAAAGCACGGGAAAAATAAGGACAATGATAAGAAAAAGAACTGACTTAATGGTATACAAAAATAATAATTAAATAATAAAAGACAATAAGGAATGTTTACATTAGGTAACTACTAACTCTACTGTTCATACCTACTACAAGAGGAACACTTTTTGACTTCTTATCAGCACCTATAATCCAATAAATTATACATATCAAATTAATGTTTCCTTACTTTAATTGACATAATAGTATTTAGAAAAATAACAATTTAATGAGTTTAAATCTGAATCATGGTTTATACGATTTTTCAGCACTCTGGTGTAGCTTTTACATAAAATAAATAAATCTTTATTTTGTAGACTTATCTGGTTTAGTATCATTTTCATCTACCATTTTTTTAAATATTAACAATTTTTAAATCTTTTGTTAAATCTGTTGTGAAACCAATCAAATTATTGTTTTTCTAACTTTAAATGAATGAAAAAATCTTTAATTTTCTGTTATATAATATTGTTTTCAACAATGTAGAGTAATATTTAAAGAATTAAATTTATTTTCATAAATTTCTTAAAATAAATGTAACAAGCTATTAATTAGTTTTCTCTGAGGTAGTCAAATTATCCATTATTGCTTCAATAACTGTAGTAAGGACTAATACTGGCTGCTTGTTTAGAAATATTGTCATTTTAAAATGGTATACATATAAATAAGCACGGAGAGTAATAAAAACAGATATGTATATATATGGCCAAAACCGCAAAATATGAACGATCTTTCAGGCCCCGTGAAATATTTTGAAATTTACCATGCATGTCTGTTTTAATGAAAAGAATATTTTCAATTTTGTATTTTCAATTATTTTAGCCATAATCGTGTAAAGTATTTTAAGTTTTTTTTGTTTACTTTGTATTTATCATTCTTGTATAGTATCTACTGCCATAAATATAAAACTATTAAAAAAAGGTGTCTTATGTAAAATTATCTAAGCTTTCTGAAAGAATATAGATTTTTTTTTTGAGAAACAGAATGTTAATAATTGAGTTTATAATTTTAATAAAAACAAAAAAGTACATTAACTTTAAATATAATTATTTCAACTATTTTGATAACTGTGATTTTTTTTTCAATTGCACTATGCAGCTTTCTAAAAAATATGAGAAAATTTCTCAAATATTGGGCAACACGGAAAAATTAAACTCTTTAGATTATAAACTTAATTAAATGACAATCTGTTACTCGAAAAAATCCATTATTTTCCATAAGAAACTAATTTTTAACAAATATTTCTTTTTTCCGAAGATACTATAAAAAAATGATTAAAAAAAAGAGTAAAGGAAAAAACTAAAAATATGAAAGCCAATTTATATGATAAGAACCAGAATAAAAGAAAAATAATTGATTTACTGTCGAAAAACATTCTTATTGTCGGAACACACATAGAGGTTGAATTTGGAAAAGTACCGCGGGGGAGTGCTCCAAAAGGTCGATCGTACTTGGTGTTTTGACCCATTTATTTTTAAGAAACAACGTAAATTTACTTAGCAACTTTTTTGTGTCCTCATTTTTCTCACCTAACCAACAGATAACACAAATAAAATAACTGTTAACAAACAAAATATTTACATAATATTGTATAGCAAAATACAGTCAAGTACATATCCTTATTTACACGTATTATTACTTTCCTGGACGCAGTTTTTCATAATAAAATTATTAATTTTATCAAATATTTTGTTTAATTTTGGTACCGTGTAAATACTCCAAAAACATAATATGTACAATAAATGTAATCTTTAAGAGTACTGTTTTCTACTTCTAGATCTATATTATCCAATAAACTAGCTGTATATAATTTATAAAACATACTTGGATATGGTCGACCTTGTGTGACTAAAATATATAAACAACAAAATTAGGTTTTAATATAAGTTCATACTCGGGTATATAATTTTGAAATTTCTTCATGAAATTAACTTCTTTCAATACAATTTGTCATTTAAGTAGAAACCAAACATGATACAACTATGGTAATTATAGTGTTGAACCTGAGAATGTAATTGTAAAAAACTATAAATTATAATTACCTAATGCTAATTCCATCATAATAAAAAATACAAATAAAATAGTAGATTTTTTCATATTGTACTAATGAATTCTTGTTATTCTGAAAAAAACTTCTACGATAGACAACCTTAAAATGTACAGAGAAAAATGTAAATGTACATAACATACATTTTTTAGCAAGATTTACACTATGTGTAGTAACAGATTTATTAAAGTATGACGCAAACGGTCATGTTATTCGTAAAAAACAAAACAATACATGTTTCCAAAAAACCTGTGAGATGGAGCAAACCTTACGTTAGCAATAAACATTTTCGGTTAACGTTAAAAAATAATAATTTCCCTATATTTAAAATATTCCAATGAAACACATATAATCGGTGTATTTCTCATAATTCATTTTTAAAACTGCATACATTGATTAATATATTTTACTGATATATACTATTGTAACACACACTCTAACAGTCTCTGTTTATTGAAGTTTTAAGTTCAGGGTAGAAAGAATTAGGGTGGAGTGAAGTATTATTTTTATCTGAGCGTATTTTCTAACCACAGTTTCCCTCCCATCCTAACTTTTAAACTTTTATAACTTTAAAATGTATTATCCAAAATTGTTTAGTCGACCAGTCAACATTTTTAGTATATTAATTCCAATTCAAAAATTAAAGAAATGTATGCGTAACCATTTAAGTTTTAAAAGTTTTTATCAACGAAATTAAGTAGGTAGGGGGTAAACACAAATTATAAGAAATAGAGATCAAATTGTATAAAAACATTATGAAAAAATAAAATTCAATTATTTTTTAAGCCAGTGAGATATTGAGTAGTTTATGATAAGATGACTATTCTGAATCCAACTAAATCTATGGTTAGTATGAAAGCATTATACATTTCTAGTTGGACTAATTAAAAAGTTGGTCCAATTAATAGTATTGTTATTATAAGGGCATATTTAGTTGGGCCAGCTATTTATTTGTATATTCCACCTAGAAATGTATTGTGTTCCTATATTATCCGACAGATTAGGTTGAACCAAACATGTATTTTTTTCTGAGTAATATAAAAACAATAGTAAAAATAGAATAGGGCACTATTTTTTTTATAATAATTGTAATTTTTTTTTCCTTTTAAAAAAACATTCACAATTACTTAATTTGGAAATATTTTGGGTCGAAAAATATTTAAACGAATATAGTGTACATTATTTAACATAGTTATTTCTGTTTCATATTGAAACAGATTTATTAAAGTATGACGCAAATGGCAATGTTGTTGTAAAAAAACAGAATGTTCATGTTTCAAAAAACACTTCGCACGGAAAAAATATTTCGTTAGCTATAAACAATTTTGGTTATCGTTGTATGAAACAATTGTCCAATATTTCAAATATTCCTGATATTTTTCGAACACAATAGGTTATAATGTTAAATATATTTTTGTACCGAGCCTCAAGTCAGAAAGTTATTGAATAAATTTGATTAATATATTTTACAATTCTTATTTAAGCCAGTGAGATATTGAGTGTTTCACGATAAGATGACCATTCTGTATATCAAATGTAGATTATTTTATTTTAGGTCCAACTAAACCTATAGTTAATATTAGAGCACAGTACATTTCTAGTTGGACTAATTGAAAAGTTGGTCCAATTAATAGTACTGATATTATAAGAGCTAAATATGCTTTATTTAGTTGGCTCAACTATTTATTTATTTATTCCACCTAGAAATTTATTGTGTTCCTATATTATCCGACAGATCAAGTTGGACCAACCATGTATTTATTTCTGTGTAGGGAAGTGGTATAAAATCAATAGTAAAAAAATAATATAGCAATATTTTTTTTTAAATAATTGTATAATTTAGTTTTCCTTTTAAAAAACATTTACAATTACTTAATTTGGAAATATTTTAGGACGCAAAAAATTTAAACGAATATAGTGTACATTATTTAACAATAGTTATTTAAGCTATATTGAAACAGATTTATTAAAATATGACGCAAATGGCAATGTTGTTGTAAAAAAACAGAATGTTCATGTTTCTAAAAAACACTTCGGTCGGAAACAATATTTCGTTAGCTATAAACAATTTTGGTTAGCGTTGTATTAAATAATTGTCTAATATTTTTAATATTTCACATATTTTTTAACATAACAGGGTAAAATATTTAATATAATCATATAACCAACCACAAATCAGAAAATCATTAATGAATAAATTTCTAATTAAAAGCAACCCGTTTAAATAACAAAATATATTTGGCACTTTTGTTATCTATACAATTAAGTAATTAAGTAACTCTTCCAAAAATTCATAGTTGGTCTAACTAAAAGTATGGTTCTTATAGTGGCACAATAAATATATATTTAAAATAATAAAATATGAAGTTTTGTAATTAAGTAACTATCGTAAAAATACAAAGTTATTCCAACTAAAAGTATAGTTATTAGAGGGGCACAAAAATTATCTAGTTGAAATAACAAAATAAATAGGTGATCCAACTAAATATTTGGTTGGGCCAACTATTTAATTATTTTTTTATATATTTTTCGATAAATTAAGTATGACCAACTTTGTACTTTTTCTGTTTTGGAGGGCGTTATACAAATCAATAGTAAAAATATATCATATTTCTCTTTATGTCCTATACAGATGATTCATTATGAATATGCACTATTTTTCTTAAAATAATTGTAATTTTTAATTTTCTCTTTAAAAACATTTACAATTACTAAATTTTAAAGTATTTTCGGGTCGAAAAAAATTTAAACGAATATACTGTATATTATTTAACAATATTTATGTAAATTATATTGAAACAGTTTTATTAAAGTATGACGCAAATGGCAATGTTGTTGTAAAAAACTGAACGTTCATGTTTCTAAAAAGCACTTCAGCTGGATAAAATATTTCGTTAGCTATATACAATTTTGGTTATTGTTGTATAAAGTAATTGTCCAATATTTCAAATAATTCACATATTTTTTGAACATATTAGGTCAAAATATTTGAAATATTAATTACCGAACCTCAAATCAGAAAATCATTGATGAATAATCTTCTTATTAAAAGCAACCCATTCAAATAACAAAATATATTGTGCACATTTGTTAGCTATAAAATTGAGTAATTAAGTAACTCTCCTAAAAATTCATAGTTGATCCGACTAAATCTATGGTTAATATAAGGGCACAATACATTTCTAGTTGCAAAGATTTAATGAATAGGTGGTCCAACTAAAAGTATGGTTATTATAGTGGCACAATAAATATCAATTTAAAATATGAAGTTTTGTAATTAAGTAACTATCGTAAAAATACAAAGTTATTCCAACTAAAAGTATAGTTATTAGAGGGGCACAAAAATTATCTAGTTGAAATAACAAAATAAATAGGTGATCTAACTAAATATTTGATTGGGCCAACTATTTATTTATTTTTTCATATATTATCTGATAGATTATGTTGGACCAGCTATGTACTTTTAGCTTCGATGCAAAGCGAGAAGGTATTGGTTTTACTCTGATGTATGTTTTTTTTTTATCTGTATACACTGTAACTTCTTTAATACTGGACCAATTCCTTCGAATAGCAACTCTATAAATCGCAATTTTCATCTAGTTGGTACTTTGGGGGGGTAAAAGTTGAAAAAGTTTAACTCTTCACAGGCGAAAGTTGAAAAAAACAAAAAAAAAAACCGTACGAGTTTTTAAGTTAGAACTTTTACTGGCTATAGCTTCGAGAAAAAGAGTCGGATCGAGTTGAAATTTATAAGAAATATTTATTTAGTATGCCCGCGCACGTCAGTTATATCAAATTTGAATTTAACCCAATGCCCACCCCCCTAGGGGGGGTACAGGTTTTTTTGTTTTTCGGGGTTTTTAGCCGTAATTTTAAGACCTTTGGGTTGAAAATTTGCCAGTAGTTGGAACTCATATGTATCCATAACATATTAAACGGAAAAATAATTCGGCACTACAGTTTTTTTTTAATAGCCGGAAAACTGTGTTTTCGCAGATTGCGTATATTTTAACAAAAAACACTTAAAATCTTAAAAAAATGGTTATCAAATCATTAAAACAATTTTATGTAGATCTATGCAGAATGATACTATTGAGTTTTGTGCTCAAGTAACACTTTTGACTTTAAGTTGACACAAAGTTCAATTTTTTTTTTTTTTTTTTTTTAAGTACAAACGCACTCTACCAGATGCGAGAAACGAAAAAAAAAAAGTATAATTTTTTGTTCTATTGGCATCATCGTGTGTACGAACGGCATATTGATGCGCGCTCTTATCTGCTCCGTAATGAATTATGAAATCAGTTATGATAGAAAATATTGTATGTCGTTTCAAATAGTATTTTTAAATCTCTACAAAAACGCTAGTTTTTATTCTGGTTGTAACTTGTATTGCGCTGTATAAAACTTTTATGACGTAGTTGATGTTTATTTTATCAATTTTCATTATTTAATAAAAAACAATTTGTCAACAGAATATAACTAACTGGGTGTGGATTTTATTAAGTCACAGTTGATATAAAATCGATTTGGACTTGAACTTTTTGCGGAATGACTGAATTTAATTTAAGAAACTAATTTAATTTTAATTGGCAGCCATTACGTGAGAAATGATAACATGAGTTGTTTATACTATATTGTATAGTTGTTGTAATTATCAATTTTCGAGACAAAATAATATTTGATCGTGACCATATAAACGCCCGATCGCGTTATCAACTGTCCACCGTCTTATGTACACGGTACAGGTGGGAACGAAAAACCCCTTATCGGCCCGAGCCGGTCATGGAGTGTGAGAGAGAGGTCGGGGGGTGATGACATTTGTAGGTAGTTGCCAGTCAGTATTCGATAATTCGATTATCAGTTATTGATTTAAAATTGATCCGGAGTGTCAATCCGCTGTCGTTCCGAGTATTATTATTTTTATTTACATATTGTAAAAAATATTTAATTATAAAAAAATATTTTCTTTACATAATTTTCGGTGTTAAATTTCCACCTTCGTATAAAACCACCTGCACACCGTTTGCTTGTGGCTATACACGTTAGTAATATTTAACTAATAAGTAATAAATGTAGGTAAAATTTATTGTTTTCTCCAT